GCAATGTGCATCTTGTGTGTGTGTGTGTGGTTGTGTGTGCCTGCAGAAACACAAAGCAAAGACGTAGAAAAGAGGGAGCAGAGTATGCGGAGGGACGCACAAAAATGCACAGCGGAGACGCATAACGGAAACAACAAGAAGAAGACCGCTCAAACTCATGATTGCACTGCAGCCCAAGCAGTGGCAATTCACACAATATTTATTAAAAACAAAAAACGTCTTCCTTCGTCTTATATAAACCCCATCGCACAAAATAATTATAAATGAAAAAGAAATCGTCCATTACTGTTCCATACAAATTTTAAAACAAGAAAAATCCTGGCTGCCGTGTGGCCACACCAAACCGTCTGTATGTATTTTGCCCGCAAAAGAAATTTAAAAGGATGGTTACGTGTGCTTCAACCGTCTGACCCTCCATGTGTCCGCACACCATTTATATTTCATGGGGTCATCTGCGTGTTGCTGCTCCCCTCAGCCCTCTCATCGGCGCGTGAGTGCGGCCCGCAGAGCACAGTCACGCGAGTGTGTGGGGACTGAGAGAAGCACGCAGACATGACGGGAGTCGCGTCTCTCCATCGGGAGAGTGAGCGCAGCAAAAGAAAAAGAAAAAATCATCGGAGGGGAGAGAAATGCTCACGAGGCCGACACCGAAGGGTGCGCCACCGCACGAAATAAACACGCAAATCAAAACAAATCCTTAAATAAAAACACGGCGGCAGGGTGTGGCTGTGTGTGTGGCGCTGCGGGTGTCTGCCCGCCCTGGCCGCAATAAAAAAAAAAAAAGGGAAAGAAATGTGTGCTCCGCCCCACAGGCCGTCGTCGCACGCCCACACGTCACGGCTCCCTCAGCGCGCCGTTCGTCGCGGCCCCTCCTCATGCGTGCAGCAGGCGAGGCGCACAGGGCCGTCGTCATGAGCGTGTCGGTGGGTGTGCGAGTGGAGCAGTTGGGCGGGAAACACACACGGCACCCCTCACAGGAAGAGTGCAGCAAGAAACAATTAAAAGAGGGAAGAGTAGAAAAGAAAAAACGTTCATAGTGATTGCCCCAAAAGCAAAAAAAAGAGAATGGGGAAATGAGAAAAAAACAATAAAAAGTGAAAACAAAAACAAAACGCACAAAAAAACAGGGAATAAAATAAATGTTATTTGAGAAGGGAAATAAATTATCATGTGTATTTTTGTGCAGGGAGGGTCGAAGTGTCCCACGCGGCAACCAGTCACTCCTCACAGAGCCGCAAACACCCACGGTCCCAAAAGGAGAAGCAGCGATGGCAGCAGTCCGCTCCCACGCATGGTGCCGGCATCGCTGTTATTTTCTTGCGACACATTTCCGAGGTTGCTGCTGAGCGCCGTGGCATTTACTTCCCTGATCTGTGAATCGGCCCCCTCCACACCACCACTTGCATCTTTACTGCTTCCCACCAAATGCCCCCATTCCGACGGCTGTTGCCCGGCAGGAGTAGACGGAGTACCCCTCGGCTCTGTTTTTGCATGATACAGCTTTGGAATATTAACGCTTTTCATTTTAAGCGCAGTCATCTCCGCAGTACTCAACGGGCGGTTGTACAGCAGGACGTTCGTCACAGTCACTGACACTTCTTCTTTGCTCCCTGCGCCGCCTGCACTGCGTTCGTCCCCTCCAATGTAGAAGTGGGAGATCTCTTGGGATTCCGTGCTTCCCAATGCACACGACGCACCCACACCCACACGCTGACCATCAACGTAGATCGAGCCCTGTTTGCCGTTCTGTAGCACAATAGCCACTTGGTGTGTTGTCTCTGGCTTCCAATTGCTGCTGAGCTCCGTCGTCTTTTCGTCACCGCACCGCAACTGCCACTTATTTTTGTTGCTGTACGACAGTCCCAGGAATACTTTATTCTTACCAGCACCATTCATCTTCTTCACGCCCATCAAAGGAATGGGAGTATCTTCCTTCGGCACCTTGTCGATGGACACCGTCGCCACAAGAGTGAAGTTGTAGTTCGCAAAGTGGTACAGCTGATTCTCCCCCTGACTGCCAACGGGCCACTCCGCCCACGCTCCATGGAACGTCACACCATCGGAAGTCTTTGTTGCCTCTGCTGCACCGTTCTTCACTGTGGCGTTCACCCCGAGGTACTCGTCCTTCCATGTGTTCTCAGAGAAGTTGCCGGACAAAAAGCCAACCAGCCCATCCGTGATCTTATCAGCGCCGCAGGCATTGTCAGATGAGAAACCCTTCTGAGCAAGTAAAGTGGTGCACAGCTGAGAGACACGTTCGTCCACTTCCTTCCAGGTCGCCACCACCTCCTTCACCCGCTTCAGCTGCGCAGTCAGACGCACAGAAACCATACCGGGTGATGGATTCTCCCCATCGGCCTTCTTCTTCTCGTACAGTGCAATCAACTCTTCCTTCCCATTCGTTTTACTTTTACCACTTTTACCGCTTTTGTACAACAGGGAGCTGGCGGCAACATCTTCGTCCTTCCCGGACACCGGCCCAATATAAACAATGTGCGTATTGTCCGTCAGCCAAAGATGGAGTCTGCCCTTTTCCACATTTTCCTTTCCATTTTCTCCTTTTTTGGAATACACCGGCAGAGTGACAAGCATCACGTCCCTGTCCTCAATCGTCGCTGTGATAAACCCGTTCCCAACGCCCTTCTTATTTCCATTTTTGTTGCCCCACACGCGCGAGAGTGTCCCGAGCGCCTCCGTCCACGACTCCGTTAGATTAAACTCGTACACCCTGCGGCGGCCATCATCACACGCAGTCATCATCATGAGTTTGTCCTTCCACTCCACGACGGAGGGATCACTGCAGCCGTCGGCAGACATCTCCCTCGATATCACCCAACCCGCAGTGTCCGAGGAGTACATAATCAGTGAAACGGCTTTCCCATCCTCTTTTTTTGTGCCTTCCAATGGAAACAAGAGAGTATCACCTTTTATCTTAATACCCGATCCACCACCGCCAATCAGTCGTGTCCAGGATTGTTCCTGTCTGCCGTTAGAAATCCATGGGAGATCGTAAGTATCTTTCCAAAGGATCCTTTTGTTGGTACTGCCTTCCTCATTGTTAATGTTACCTTTTACCAGCAAGAGTCCACATTGAAACACAGAATCTGCCTTATCCTCATATGTCCAGCTGTAGTTTCCAGCAAGCATGTAAATATCACTTCCCTGCATGACTGTTGTTGGTCGGCTCACATGCACCTTCTTCACTCTTTGAGTGCCAGCCAGAACTGCTGTTTGGGAGGGGCATTGTTCTCCTCCGGAAGAACGGTTCACCAGTACTTGTGTCTTCAATTTACTCATATCCAACTCATTTGATGGTTCATCAGTCAGAGCCAAAAGCTCCGAGGCAATCCCAGTAAAAACGCATTCTCCAGTGCCCGTGCACTGCGCCTCAGCAACGGCAAACACATCACCATTCATCTCAACAAGACTGGGAACACGGAGCGAACTCACTGTTTCTCCCTTCTTATCTCTCCAATCAAACAATTTCCCCTTTGAAGATCCTGAAGCTGACGACGTGTCCTGACTGGATGCAGCTCCACTGCAGCAGCACATCATCACAACGGCGAGGAGCAGCACCGTGGAATTAAACACACGCCGGGACATGTTGGGCCTCTGCTGCTCACTCTCTCTTCATTCCCTCCTCCTTCCGCTGGATCCGGTCACGCGGCGACGGTTGTGTGTGCGGAGTGCCATGACAGCTGCATAAACACGTGAGAGCATATAAATATGTGTGTGTGGGCGGTGTGTGTGCTGTTGGTCCTTTCAGAGCCTTACAATTTCACAGTAGCAATTAGCGCTTGATTTCCTTCTTCGTGTGTGATTGAGAGGGTGGAGAGAAAAGATGCCAATAAAAGAGGTAAAACAGTAAACACAGCCACCCATCCACAGTGAGTGGCACCATCATCCCCGCCGCATTCACTCCCAACAACAACAACTCACGCACACAAACACAAAGAACAGCAGAAGCAGTAGAAATGCACCGGGAACACACAGCGGCTGTTGCCACTACAAGCAGGAGTCACGGAGGATGCATTATTCATCACGCGTGAGCACACACCAAGCAACACCGACAAAACAACGGGACGCAAAAGGGTGCAGCCGCCCTTCGCACCACCAACGCGCCGCCACCAGTCGTTTTACTGCTTGTCCCTTCCAGCGCGCCCTCCAACGCACATCACCCCGCACAGCCAAAGAATATCGGCAAATCCACAGCGGGATAAACACGTCAGCACGCGCAGCTCCATGGCGAGAAACAATCCGCACTCGCCCACGGCACCCTCAACACCACCCACCGGCTGCACGCCGCAAACATCACACCCTCCACACGTCGACAAAAGAATTCTCGGGCTGACAACCTTCCTCCTAGCAGGGCCGCCGCAGCAAGAACCTTTTATGTGCATTCTCAGCGTTCAGACCTCTACGCAGCGTGAGCGACATGGCATGTGTGTGTGTGCATGTGCTTGTGCGTTTGGCAGCGCCCATAATTGCAGAGCAGCTGTGCGGCACAAGAGAGTCAGAAGAAAGCAACGGCAGAGAGAGGCAGATAGCACACACGCAAATTACTCATATCATCACACACAAACACACACACGCAGCCAGCGGAATGGGTGCTCTCAACCACAAAACAATGAAAAACAAAACAAAAAGCCGAAGCGTGGGACGACCAGCGCACACACTCTCATTGCTCCCGTAAAGCAAAACACACACACAGGGAGAGAGAGAGAGAGGTCGCCCACTCAATGCAATAAAAACAAAACAGAAACAGTTGCGGTGCTCCGCCCATGCAGCCAGGCAGGACGGCAGCGGTGCGTGTCGTGCAAAAGAGAGCACCAACGGGCCTGCATGGGTGTGCATGCAATATATACAATGGGCACATTATGTGTGTGTTTCGTGGGGTGAGGTGAGGGCGAGAGTCCATGCAAGGGAACACACACACAGTGAGAGAGTGAGTGAAGGACGAGTGTGTGTGTGGGTGGTGCACGGCTCTCTCTCCCTCACTCTCACGCGGCCACCACCGCAGCAGCAGCCGCACACGCAACAACAACAAAGAGAAGCAAAAGAGGGGAGGTGGTGTGGGAGACCGCGGTGCTGCCGTCACTGTCGCCAGTATTCACTGTTGTATTTTTCATGGCTGTGGCTTCGACTGGTGTTTCTTTCGGATTGGCTTCTTTATTTTCATCCGGTTTTCCCTCTGCTGCCCCTGAAACATCAGCTACTGGATCACCGTCTCCAGTTGTTGGTGTGCTGTTGGGATTTGTTTTATTCGATGCTCCCTCCGCACCAGAAGATAAACTTGGCTGCTCTTGACCTTCTGCTGACGTCCCCACTGTGGTGCCGGTATAATCTTCCTCCTTCTCTTTATCTTTCTCATCTTTGTGATCTTCACCCCCATCTTCTTTCTCTTCATCTTCTTCATTTTCATCTTCATTTTCATCTTCATTTTCCTCCTCTTCCGACCTCGTTCCTTCTTCTTTTGTTTTCTCATTGTTGTTTTCCGTCTTTGGTGTTAAAATTGCTGATGCTTGTTGTTTTCCCGGTTTTGGTGCCGGTGAGGAGTTCGTTGCCGCTCCCGCTCCCGTTCCCATCTCGATTTGCACCGGTGATGATGTTTCTTGTGACGCTGCCGGTTTACCGCTTTGGCCACCTCCTCCAGCGCCACCAATGGTCTCTTTTTCATTTTTAGGGGTATTGCGGTCTTCGGACTGAGTACCCGGAAGATCTGGAGTTGGTTCAGAACATCCACCACCGCCGGCACCGCACCACAGCACGCAGAGGGCACACACCAGCAGCACACGGCCAGCCATCATCATCGCCATCACTCCTGTCACTTGCGTGCAGCCTTCAGCACAAACTAACAACACGTCAACGCAAAGCAAGAATAAATACAAGGAGAGACAAAAAAAAACAGTAAAAAACACCGGCAGGCCGCACACGCACCTCCGTCGCAGCAACTGTCGCACACACGCACAAGAAACAGCACATCAGTGAAGGCACCAACAGGACGCAGAGCAAACGGCACGGCATCATCACAAACAGCGTAGCCAATTAACGATTTGGGGCGGACCTGCAACAACATGGGAAATCAAAAAGCGACACGGCCGCTACACCACGCACAGCCACCGCACAGTTGCAAATGGCAGCAGCAGAAGCAGAGAACAAACCACAAAAGACAGATAGAATCAGCATGATTGCAAAACTCACATAATATCCTGCAGGTCAAAAGTTTAAGAACCAAGCAAAAATTTTAAAAAAAGATGACAAACCCAAGACTCCAGTGAACATGCACCTATCCTCAAATGTGCGTCCACGTACGGCTCCGCTGCGAATGCATACGAGTGTGGGATGCCTTCAACGAAACGGAAGTGAAGAACAACGCGGAGCACACATGAGGGTAGGGGAAGAAAACAAAGCAAAACACAATCATCATAATTACTCTTACTTTATACATCGGACCACAGTAGAAGCGCACAAATCCCCGTGATTGAGTGCTGGCACGCACAGCCCGCACACACACTCGTCCTTCACTCACTCTCTCTGTGTGTGTCCCCTTGCATGGACTCTCGCCCTCACCCCACCCACGAAGCACACACATAATGTGCCCATTGTATATATTGCATGCACACCCATGCAGGCCCGTTGGTGCTCTCTTTTGCACGACACGCACCGCTGCCGTCCTGCCTGGCTGCATGGGCGGAGCACCGTAACTGTTTCTGTTTTGTTTTTATTGCATTGAGTGGGCGACCTCTCTCTCTCTCTCCCTGTGTGTGTGTTTTGCTTTACGGGAGTAATGAGAGTGTGTGCGCTGGTCGTCCCACGCTTTGGCTTTTTGTTTTGTTTTTCGTTCTTTTGTGGTTGAGTGCACCCGTTCCACGGGCTGCGTGTGTGTGATGATATGAGTAATTTGCGTCTGTGCTATCTGCCTCTCTCTGCCGTTGCTTTCTTCTGACTCTCTTGTGGCGCACAGCTGCTCTGCAATTATAGACGCTGACAAACAGACTAGCACACGCCATGCTGCACACGCTGTAGAGCGGCGTGAGCGCTGAGGACGCACGTACAAGATTTTTCTGTGGCCCTTGTGAGGAGGGATGACAGAGAACGCGATTTGTTTTGTTTCCATGCTAAGGGCATGATTATCTTGTCGTGCAGCAGTTGACTAACGTGGTGTGGCATTGTGGGTGCCTGGGATAAGTGCGTATGGATTCTTGCCCAGCAGCTGCACGTGCCGACGTGTTCCTCCCGCAGTTCATGCACCGACGAAGGATTCTCCGGCTGTGCGGGGCGATGTGCGGTGGATGTTGCGGGGAGAGAAAACAGTAAAACGACTGGCGGCAGCGTGTGTGGGCTTTGAAGATTTGCTGACGCGTGAAGAACAACAACATACCCGCCGTGGCTTTCACTGCTGGTGGCAGTCGCTGTGTGTTCCCGGTGCACTGTTCTTCCGTATATTTCCGTGTGTCTGTGTGCATTTCAGTTGTTGTTGTTGGAAGTGACTGCGGTGGGGATGATGGTGCCACTCACTGTGGATGGGTGGCCGTGCTCACTGTTTCACTTTTTATTAGCTTGTTTTTCTTCATTTTTTTTCACGCTACTAAAGAAAGCAAACAAGCGCGAATCGCTACTGTGAAATTGTAAGGCACTGAAAGGACCAACAGCACACACACCGCCCACACACACATATTTATATGCTCTCACGTGTTGCTGCAGTGAAGGCACCCCGCACACACAACCTTTGCCGCGTGACCGGATCCAGCGGAAGGAGGAGGGAAGGAAGAGAGAGTGAGCCGCAGAGGCCCAACATGTCCCGGCGTGTGTTTACTTCCGCGGTGCTGCTCCTCCTCATCATGATGATGTGCTGCAACGCTGGTGGGGCTCAGCAAACTATTAAGGCGGCGCCAGATCCGAGATCTTTACCGAAGACATATTTTGTTTGGAGAGACAAGAAAAGTGAAGAAAAAGTGATTTCCCTCCGTGTTCCCAGTCTTGTTGAGATGGATGGTGATGTGTTTGCCGTTGCCGAGGCGCCGTGCAAGGATGGCAGTGAAAAAGTATTTACTGGGATTGCCTCGGAGCTTTTGGCTCTGAGTGATGAAGAATCAAAAGAATTGGATACAAATAAATTGAAGACACAACTGCTGGAGGAATGTCTATCCGATGAGAAAAGCGCCTGCCATATAGCGGGTCAGGATGATTCCAAAACCCAGACCAGAGTACTTGTGAGCCGACCAACAACAGTTGTGAAGGGAAGTGATATTTACATGCTTGTTGGGAATTACAGATGGACACTTGCCGCTGGTGTTCAGGGAGCTGATGCAGGCGACTGGGGACTCGTGCTGGTGAAAGGGAACGTCAGTAAAGAAGTAAGTCAAAGAAGAATCTTTTGGAATGACACTTACGCTATCCCGTGGAATTACAACAAACAACACGAATCCTTGGCGCGGCTGATTGGAAGCGGTGGATCGGGTGTTCAGATGGGGGACGGTACGCTTGTGTTCCCAGTGGAAGGCACAAAGAAGAAGGAGAATGAGGGCGCTGAAGAGGATGAAAAGACCGTTTCGCTGATCATATACACCTCCGATAACGCTGCGAGTTGGAAGCTGTCGAAGGGGATGTCTGACGGTGGCTGCAGTGATCCCTCCGTCGTGGAGTGGGAGGACAAACAACTCATGATGATGACTGCGTGTGATGATGGCCGCCGCAGGGTTTACGAGTCCGGTGACAAGGGGGATTCGTGGACGGAGGCCCTCGGGACACTCTCGCGCGTGTGGGGCAACAAAAGGGGCGGAAAAGGGCAAGCCGTTGGGAGCGGGTTCATCACAGCGACGGTTGGAGAAGATAAGAGAAAAGTGATGCTCCTTACTCTGCCGGTATATTCCAAGGAAAATGTGGAAAAGGGTGAACTCCATCTTTGGCTGACGGACAATACGCACATTGTTGATATTGGGCCAGTATCCTGTGATGATGACGCTGCCGCCAGCTCCCTGTTGTACAAAAGTGCTGGAATTGGAGATACTAATAAAGGGGAGTTGATTGCGCTGTACGAGAAGAAGAAGGACGATGGGAAACCATCACACAGTCTTTGTTCTGTGGTCCTGACTGAGCAGCTGCAGCGTGTGAAGGATGTGCTAGCGACGTGGAAGGAAGCGGACGACCGTGTCTCCAAGCTGTGCCCTTCTAAAAGTGCTAAGAAGGATGCCTCACCTGACAATGCCTGCAGCCCTGTTAAGATCACGGATGGGCTGGTTGGATTTTTGTCCGGCAACTTGTCTGGTAGCACATGGAGGGACGAATACCTCGGGGTGAACGCCACAGTAAATAATAAAGATGGGGCAACAAAGGCAGATAACGGCGTAACATTTAAAGGACGTGGTGCGTGGGCGGAGTGGCCCGTTGGCGAGCAGGGGGAGAATAAGCTGTACCACTTTGCGAACTACAACTTCACTCTTGTGGCGACGGTGTCCATCGACAAGGTGCCGACGAGTGGCAGCGTCCCTTTGATGGGTGCAAAGATGAATGACGATAAGAATACAGAGAATCCCGTACTCCTTGGACTGTCGTACGACAAAGAAAAGAAGTGTATATTAGTGTGCAGGGGCGGAACGAACTCTAAGGATCAAAGCGTCACTTTGGAGGAGACAAAACACCACATCGTAATTTTGCTACGAAATGGCACCCAAGGCTCCGCGTACGTCGATGGTCAGCCTGTATTGGGAGATGCACAATGTGATTTGAAAAATACGAAAGATAAAAGGATCTCCCACTTCTACATTGGAGGGGATGGAGGTGCGAAAGGCGTCTCAGAGGTCCAAGACGTGTCTGTGACTGTGACGAACGTCCTGCTGTACAACCGCCCGTTGAATGACGATGAGATTACTGCGCTTAACGCAAAACTTTCTATTCCAAAAGCAAAAGATACAAAAACAATGGCTGGGGATACTCCACCAGAGGCAAGTAAACCAGCTACGCTGGAAACCGGAACTCCGTCTAGTCTTGGCGGGCAACAGCAGACTGAACAGGAACTGCTGAGGACAAGTGAAAATGCGGGGAGTGGCGGTTTATCCACGTCAGCGGTGTCCAGTGCCACGACTTCCCCAGCAGCCAAAGAGTCCGATAACCAGTCAGCGTCGGGAACACCTCCCGAAGGACATTCAAATGTGGATGTTGATTCTTCGTCCGAGGGAGGCCAAACGGTGGACACCGAAACTGAAGACACGGTGCAGGGAGATGGAACACACCAACCCTCAGTGGGCACTCCCGCCACAGCAGATACAAATGCCCCTACCGCTGAAATTATGACGCACGACGGAGCCGCAGTGACACCTGAGGTTGGTGCGCACTCTGGTGAGAATGAGGAGACGGTGGGAGGGACGGATGGGCAGAAACGGGAGGACATCCATGCACAGGACGGCGAAGTAAAGGCTGCGGCACTCAGCAGCAGCCTTGGAAATGTGTCACAGGGGAATAACAGCGATGCCGGCACTGTGTGTGGGAGCGGACTGCTGCCATCGCTGCTGCTTCTGTTGGGACTGTGGGTGTTTGCGGCTCTGTGAGGAGTGACTGGCTGCCGCGTGGGACAATTGCGACCTCCCGAGCACAAAAACACACGTGATAATTTATTTCCCTTCTCAAATAGCATTTATTTTATTCCCTGTTTGCTTTGCGTTTTGTTTTTGTTTTTACTTTTTTATTTCTAATCTCTCATCCCCCATTCCTCTTTTTTTTTTTTTTTTTTTGCTTTTGGGGCAATCACTATGAACGTTCTTTTCTTTTCTACTTTTCCCTCTTTCAATTGTTTCTTCTGCACTCTTCCTGTGAGGGGTGCCGTGTGTTTCCCGCCCAACTGCTCCACTCGCACACCCACCGACACGCTCATGACGACGGCCCTGTGCGCCTCGCCTGCTGCACGCATGAGGAGGGGCCGCGACGAACGGCGCGCTGAGGGAGCCGTGACGTGTGGGCGTGCGACGAGGGCCTGTGGGGCGGAGCACACATTTCTTTCCCTCTTGTTTTCTTTTGCGGCCAGGGCGGGCAGACACCCGCAGCGCCACACACACACAGCCACACCCTGCCGCCGTGTTTTTATTTAAGGATTTGTTTTGCTTTGCGTGTTTATTTCATGCGGTGGCGCACCCTTCGGTGTCGGCCTCGTGAGCATTTCTCTCCCCTCCGATGATTTCTTTTTTTTGCTGCGCTCACTCTCCCGATGGAGTGACGCGACTCCCGTCATGTCTGCGTGCTTCTCCCAGTCCCCACACACACGAGTGACTGAGCTCTGCGGGCCGCACTCACGCGCCGATGAGAGGGCTGAGGGGAGCAGCAACACGCAGATGACCCCATGAAATATAAACGATGTGCGGACACATGGAGGGTCAGACGGTTGAAGCACACGTAACCATCTTTTTAATTTTATTTTGAGGGCAAAATACATACAGACAGTTTGGTGTGGCCACACGGCTGCCAATCGACCCTTTTCTTATTTTGTGTGGAGCAGTAATGGACGATTTCTTTTTCATTTATAATTATTTTGTGTGATGGGGTTTATATAAGACGAAGGGGACGTTTTTTTGTTTTCAATAAATATTGTGTGAATTGCCACTGCTTGGGCTGCAGTGCAATCATGAGCTTGAGCGGTCTTCTTGTTGTTGTTTCCGTTATGCGTCTTTGCTGTACATTTTTGTGCGTCTCTCCACATACTCTGCTCCCTCTTTTCCACTTCTTTGCTTTGTGTTGCTGCAGGCACACACAACCACACACACACAAAAGATGCACATTGCAGTGGATTTGAATGCTCCTTTTGCAGTGCATGCTGGCAGTTGCGTGTGGTGGCTGTTGTCTTCCTCCGTGGCCATGAGGAGGAGGGAGAGAGGGAGCGCGCACCCCGAGTCTCCTTTCCTGTGGGTGTGATGCACCGCGTGTGACTGCGCTGAGTTGGGCTCCGTGTCCCATTGAGGGCGGGATGGCAGGAAAACTTGTGCCGCGTTATGGATGGATGAGGGTTCGCTTGCTCCGTGTGCGTTGTGTGGTGGCTGCGGGTTTTTGCCATTTCCCAGGGACTGTAGAGATGAGCTGGGGGAGATGGTGGTGCATGTCTTCTCCTCCTGCATGGTGGGTGGCTGCTGGCGTTGTGTGCCTTCCTTGCGTGGATGCCGTCTCGTGGTGTGTGAACCGTGCGGCTGGGCCTGCTGCCCTCTCCTCATGTTGTCTGCGCTCTCTCGCTGTATCCGCTGTGCTCCGTCCCTCTCCCTTTCTTTCCATTCTTTTCGTCTCACCGATCGGCTGACTGACTCCAGCGACTCCACTACGGGCGATGATGACTGCGATGGTGACGGTGCGGCGCCCTGTTGTTCCTTGCGTTCTTGTGCTGCTGCTGCACGTCCGTGTGCATGACGACGTGAGGAGACGATAATAATGATAACAGCAGTCATCCCAGCCCTGAGCTGGGGAAACCAGATCCTACAGAAAAATACGCCTGGCGCATTAAAGCCATATGGTGGGGAGACCGGTGGGCCACAGACAGAGAGTGGGAGAGACAGCGAGGAGGGTTTGTGAAATCAAGGACCTTCTTTGCCAAAGGAAGCAGGCACAGCCATCACTGGACAGGCACGAGTTCCGCCAGAGACACTGAGTTCGGCTAGCGATAATCCATAGCCACCAGGTTTGGCAACTCAGTCTCCACACACACACAGGGTGCGACCGGTATGTCAGATGCACAAAATAAAAGGCGCAGTAAAATACACAAGGTGATGAGAATCATAAGGCACAGATATCAGAAGAGAAAATGAAAATGCCAAATACGACCACCACTACAACAAAGGCACCAAGTACTACGACTACAGAGGCGTCAACCACGAAGACCACCCGCGCACCGTCACGTCTTCGCGAAATCGACGGCAGCCTCAGCAGCTCCGCGTGGGTGTTTGCCCCGCTGCTGCTTGCCGTATCCGCGCTGGCGTACACCACTCTGGGCCAAAGATGTGTGTGCGGGCTGTGCGTGCCAGCACTCAACCACGGGGACATGTGTACGTCTACTGTGGTGCGATGTATAAAGTAATAGTAATTATGATGGTAGTTTTTGCTTTGTTTGCCTCCAGTGCCTTGCTTTTTGCTCCGCGTTGTTCTCGCATTCGCCTCGTTGAACGCATCACAGACACGCTCATATGTATGCGTACTGGTGCCTTGGGTGTTTTTGTTCTTGCTGTTCTATCTTTTTTTAAACTTGTGGTATGCAGGGCGGTGTTTGAGTTCTGCAATCGTACGGGTTCCATCTGTTTCAATGCGTGTGCTGCTGCTGTTGTTGCTGCCACTTGTTACTGTACGGTGGCTTTGCTTGGTTTTTTAACATTTTTCCCCTTTTGCTTTTGCTCTGCGTTGACGGGGATTTGGTTTGTGCTGGAGGCTACACGCAAGTGACAGGAGTGATGGCGATGATGACTGGCCGTGTGCTGCTGGTGTGTGCCCTCTGCGTGCTGTGGTGCTGTTGTGGTGGTTTTGCCGACGAGGCGGGTGTTTCTGCCGGTGGAGGGAACGGTTTGGGGTACACGAGTAACGGCGTAAATGACGGATCTTCGAAGGCGGACTGCGGGTTGTTTTTTACGTCGATGGGATTATTAAAGGCGGTTGAAGCTGGCGAAGACAATTTGCCTTTGACTGATAAGGTGTCATCGGAGATTAAGTAGGTATCAGATCTTGTTGTTTCACAAAAAGGTGTTGACGGCGGCCCATTGGCTGGTGCAAAAGAGGGAAATGGTGCCGCAGGTGCAGTAACCTCACCGCCTGGACCTGGAGTATCAGAGGCAAATGAAGGGGAACGGCATTTAGAGGTACTTGGACCAAAAGGAGATGATGAAATTACAAGAGTTTCTGCTAGCGGTGAGGCATCTAATTCGCAAAACCAAACCGCTCATCAACCGGTCCTTTTATCCGACAGCAGTGACACTCGTCCTGGAGAAGTGCTCCCTTTGAGTAATTCCGACAGTGCTTTAATTTACAAGGACCCGCTGAAGAAAGGAGATGTCGATTCTCGCGATGCCACTGTTGGTGACACACAAAAGGTGGAAGAATTGAAAGAAGAAAATAAAGAAGAGGAAGAATTAAAGGAATTTAAGGACAGGGCGGAATCCGAGACACGCAAAGAGGGAAAAAAAGAGGAGGGAACGCCAACAAAAATATCAACAGCACAACCAACAGCATTGGAAAGAACACAAACACCGGTAGTGAAATTGAATGGAGGAAAATCGCCAGATGCAGTTCCGGAAGGAGACGCAAGCCAAACAGAATCAGAAGATGCACAGGCCTTGACGCATCAGCAACATGAAAGCTCATCGTCACAAACAGAAACGAAGTCCGAAGCACCGGAACCTCCTGCGACGGATGGTGTGTCACCACAACAAGTTCAAGACACAGTCACGAAGGACTCGATGGAGAATGCAACTGCCACCAATCAAGCGGAAACAACAGTATCACCCAACTATACAAGTGGCAGTGGTGAAGTCCGGAGTACGGCGGATGGGAATGACCCTCAACGGCCCAACTCCAACGAACCACACGACGTACTTGAAGGTGTTGATACCAACGATGCTCCTACAGCCAGTGAGGCAGCACCTCAAACAGAAGAAACAGCCGCAGCCGCCACAATAAATGGTACGGCAACACCTGGCAACAGTGACAGCAGCACCGCGGTCTCCCACACCACCTCCCCTCTTTTGCTTCTTGTTGTTGTTGCGTGTGCGGCTGCGGCTGCGGTGGTGGCCGCGTGAGAGTGAGGGAGAGAGAGCCATGCACCGCCCGCACACACACTCGTTCTTCTCTCACTGTGTGTGTGTGTCCCCTTGCATGGACTCTCGCCCTCACCTCATCCCACGAAGCACACACACAATGTGCCCATTGTATATATGCATGCACACCCATGCAGGCCCGTTGGTGCTCTCTTTTGCACGACACGCACCGCCGCTGCCGTCCTGCCTGGCTGCATGGGCGGAGCACCGTAACTGTTTCTGTTTTGTTTTTATTGCATTGAGTGGGCGACCTCTCTCTCTCTCCCTGTGTGTGTGTTTTGCTTTACGGGAGCAATGAGAGTGTGTGCGCTGGTCGTCCCACGCTTCGGCTTTTTGTTTTGTTTTTCATTGTTTTGTGGTTGAGAGCACCCATTCCGCTGGCTGCGTGTGTGTGTTTGTGTGTGATGATATGAGTAATTTGCGTGTGTGCCATCTGCCTCTCTCTGCCGTTGCTTTCTTCTGACTCTCTTGTGGCGCACAGCTGCTCTGCAAGTATAGGCGCTGCCAAACGCACAAGCACATGCACACACACACATGCCATGTCGCTCACGCTGCGTAGAGGTCTGAACGCTGAGAATGCACATAAAAGGTTCTTGCTGCGGCGGCCCTGCTAGGAGGGAGGTTGTCAGCCCGAGAATTCTTTTGTCGACGTGTGGAGGGTGTGATGTTTGGGGCGTGCAGCCGGTGGGTGGTGTTGAGGGTGCCGTGGGCGAGTGCGGATTGTTTCTCGCCATGGAGCTGCGCGTGCCGACGTGCTTATCCCGCTGTGGATTTGC